CTGACGATACCGATGCTCATTAAATCAACGTTAACAATGACAGACACGTGTGTTGATTCATGGATCTTCATAAGTGACAGTGTCTGCTTTCTCTGTGGCTAACCTCATCACGTTGCATGTCGACAAAATGCTCTTTCTGAAAATAATATGTAATTCTTTTAGAGCATTAAATGTTGTTTATAGTTTCATTGTGTTGATTACGCGAGGTCGTTTAAGTAGCGCGCGCAGTCACATAGTTTTAAATCTGAACATGCCTAACTGAAAGATAATTATCAGTACCAAATGACTACTTTAACCATCAATCATCTATCAGCAAATTGTCGAACTTGTGAATTTAAAAAAATTCCATTTTTCAATTATTTTCCCCCGTGGTGGCTACGTCCGGTCAATAAGTCAGCGGGCAGTCGTTTAACTGGCGTCTTTGAACTTTGCAGACATCTGTTTCCGTTCAGTTTTCGTTTTCTTTCATTACACTGCTTGTCGATGAATGGCTTTCTATGAGTACACTGAGCAGCGTAGGCCAAATAGTGCAATTCCAAAGAATTTTCATTTTAATGATAGAACTCTGTGCGGCCACGTGAGCCATATGGCCAATAGAGTGTCGCGTTACGGTTTCATTGCTGCTGACGTTCAGTGCATGCTAGAAAGTTCACGGGGCGCGCGAGTCATGGAGTGTATTGAGGATGACAATACTCAAAACGGCAAAACGAGACGTGAACAAATTTTCGTTGGACGGCATTTGTTACGTATTCGACAGAAGAATCACGTTGTAGTGAGGTGTCGCGGTCCAGCACCGAGTATCCAGATTAATGATATCTGTTGGTTTGGTTTCTCAGAATGATTTAGGTGATGTTGGCTGCTGCCGCAAAGGTCAAGGGTCATGTTCCTCGTCGCAAGCTCTGTTGGAGGGTACGATGGTGACCTCTGGCTCGCCTGCGGCTATCCTTTGTCTCCTAAACGAAAATGGCTTCGGATAACTCTCCATCATCCAAACCATCACAGACGTCGTTCCCAGATTTCTTCCGAAGGGATACTCAGACAGGTCGTCTCCGAGCTCTTTTCATTCTTTATTCGATGGAACGACAGCGCTTTTAAAAGTGTCCAATATTTTTCATAGCGCTTTGAAAGGTTGTTGTTTCAAAGCTGTACATCAGGACTGAGAAGACCGCGGATATCAGTATGGTGACCTTGGTTGTTGTCCGGATAGATCGGCCTTGCTACACTTTAGGAAGTCGCCTGAAGTTCAAGTTGCCAGCCCTAACCGCCACCCTACTTACGTATCGCAGCTTCCATCTTCTGCCGTTACTGGGC